TGTAGGTGATACCATGTCACCCCATGTATATCTGGGAGGGGCCGCGGCTCAGTGGAAGAGCATCTGCTTTGGATGCAGAAAATCCCAGGTTCCCTGCATCTCCAGTTGAAAGGACCAAGTAGGAGGTGATGGGAAAGACCTCATCCTGGGACCCTGGAGAGCTGCTGCCAGTCTGAGTAGACAACACTGACCTTGATGGACTGATGATCTGATTCACTGTAAGGCAGCTTCATATGTTCATATGTCTTGAATTCAGATCTAAAATTCACGTGAAGGACTTAATCGAATGCTGTAGTGGGAGAAGGGATTCATATCAGAAGCAGACACACAATGTGTGATAGATTTTCTGTTTGTAAAGAATGCAACATGAAACAGAAAAAGCAACCATGAACCTTTTAGTCCTGTATTATAAGGCACTGGCAAACACAACATGGTCACATGTATCCATGTTCTGATCACATCCCAGTTAGACTATTGCAACATGATCGGGGGGGGGGGGGGGCTGCCTTTGAAATCTGTCTAGAAGATTCAGATACTTCAAACTACAGTAGTGCTGCTAAGCAACACAAGATACTGAGAACAGACCTGACCAGTATTGAGCAGCAGTTGCAATACGCAGCCCACATTGACTGGCTATTCAACTTTGAGCTCATATTAGATTTCTGGTTATTCTGTTTAAAGCTGTGAATAGTTTGGGATCATGGTACTCAAAGCGTTGCTTAGGCCTTTTCCCCACCCCCAGAAGTGAGGTGGGTAGTCTCCAGAGGAGGTGACCACCACTTCTGTACAGCAGCACTTCATTTATGAAACTCCCTGCCCATAAAACCTCACCTGGCACTAGACTCTGTACCTTCAGTTGCCAGGTAGAAACTTTTGCTTGTTCATGTGTTATTTCCAATTTTTGTTTTCTTGGTTGCTGCTGGATCCATGCTGCTGGCTACTGAAGGTGGTGGTTGTTAACTGGTTTATTGTTGTTTTAAATCTTATTTATTCTGTTTATCATTCTTAATTGAACGTTCCTATGTGTTACCTCAAAAGTCTTGAGCAAAGGACGTCCGGTTTCTGTTCTGCCATCATCAGAGGGCTCCCAGGACTGCTCCCGAGGAACCCATGAGTCTCCCAGACCTAGCGGGAGAACTGGTTTGCCCCAGTCTCCCACAAGTTTTCCCGGAGGGAAGCCTGTGCAGGGGGCCTGAGTAGACCCTTCATTGCCCCAAAGCAAGGTCTGGAGAGTCAGCACTCATGGCAGCCATTTGAGTGCGGAGGCGAGAGCAACCGACTTCTAGAGCTCTACTAACACCAAAGAATCTTCGACATTCTTTTTAACAACCTTGCACTGTGAGTACTACAAACCTTGACAACAACATTTGATTTTGATATTTTTTTTGTGAGGGGAAAGGGTCCATTTAAACCTTAAAGCCCTGGAAGTAAAACTACCCCCTTTTTTTCACGGCTCAGAATGGAAGACCAGGCTGTCAGTATTACATTATAAGAAAAGCTGGACGCTTTGTTTCTTTGGTTTTTGCTTACTAATTACACATTGTGGAATTACAAAAATTGGAGGAAACACTTTTCCCTCTTATAGATTTAGTGCTCTCTTCATCTTAAAAAATTTTAAGTGTTAGTTAAGAGGTTTTGGAGACTGTTTTCATCTGAATGTTTAAGAAGATTGCAGACTGCTGACTGACCCTTGTAAAGCCTGCTGTGAAGTGTTTTGTTTTTCTTTCACTCTTGGGAATTCTGGATTTTAAGATTGGTATATTTACTTAAGACAGGACTTTACAGATGAGGATTTGAGATTTTAAATCTGGCAAATTATTTGGTTTTTTATAATATAGAAGAAACTGGACAATTTGGATATAAAATTTAAGTTTGGCCTGGGAAAGAAGAAAACTTTGTTGGAATACAGCTTTGATTTTCTTTGGTTTTTATTATTAACTTTCCCCCCTGGATTTCATCTTTTATACCCTGTTGGAATTATACCCTGTTGGAACTGTACCAAGAAGCAGATTCAAATAATTTAGGAGTCTTTGGTGATTGAAGTAAAAAAGACAATCAACTATCTAGGAATAAACTTATCAAACAGACACAGCTCTTTATTTAAAGAAAATTATATAAAACTCATGGATCTGATCAAGAAAGATCTACAAATCTGGAAACATCTGCAATTATCATTCATGGGAAGAATAGCGGCGGTGAAGATGAACATATTACCAAGACTTTTTTTTATTTCAAACAATACCAATTATAAAAAATCAATGTATTTTAAAGAAATAGATAAAATGGCGAGACAATTTATTTGGCAAGAAAAAAGGCCTAGAATTAAGATGAAAGTTCTGCAAGACACAAAAGAGAGAGGAGGGTTTGCATTACCAGGCTGGCAATTATACTACAAAGCAGCCACTATAACCTGGATGAAAGAATAGATTACATTAGAAAACTCAAGACTATTAAAGCTTGAAGGACATGATTTACAATTAGGGTGGCATGTGTTTGTTTGGTATAGGAAAAGCAGTATTCATAAATATGTTAATCAACATACTATAAGAGCTGCACTGATGAAACAATGGGATGAGATACAAAAACTATATTATACTAAAATACCCAAATGGGTCTCACCATTAGAAGCATTTACATACCCAATGACATTTACAAAAGACCTACTTTGGATATATGAAGATTTGATAAACAGCCAAAATCAAATACGTAACCAAGATGAACTCAGGAAAAGAGGTATGTTTGAACTGGTGGGAAAGAGCACAAATAGATTCCAGATTTGCTAAAGATCAAGTAACTGGTTTTTATGGATTCACCCTTGGAGTTTGATAAAATCATCCTTGGGACAGAGGGTAAATATATAAAATGAATTTACACTGTGCTATTAGATATGAAAATGCAAGATGAAGTTGTAAAGGAATCAATGATTAAGTGGGCTCAAAATCTAGGTCATAATATAAAATGGAGGAATGGTCTAGGGTGTGGAAGTTAAATATAAAATTTACAAAAGCAATTTCTTATAAAGAAAATTTATACAAAATGTTTTATAGATGGTATATGACTCCTGAAAACTAAATGGTATCCTAATATGTCAAATTTATGTTGGAAATGTAAAAGTAAAACTGGTTCTTTTTACCATATGTGGTGGTCTTTGTAAGATAGCTAAAACATATCGGATATGGATACATGAAATATTGCAGAAAATATTAGAAATAAGCATACCATTTAATCCTGAATTGTTTTTATTAAATATTATTCCAAAATTTTTTTGCAAATCAATATGTTTATATGGTTGTACATGTTGTGACATCTGCTAGAATACTTTATGCAAAATACTGGAAGAAAGAAGTACCCATGAAAGAAAAAATAATATCTAAATTACTTGAAGCTGCAGAAATGGACAAGTTAACTCTACAGTTACAAGGGGGGAAAGATGGAACTTTTGAAAATATTTGGATGGAATTTTATCGATGGATTGAGGACTATACCCAGAATTCTTGAAAATAATTTTTTTTTAATAAAGTTTACCACTTAAAATTGATTGTAAAACTAGATATAGGTGTTTAAAATAAGATAAGATTCAAACTTACTGTTTATGTTAACCAGATACTAAGTACAAGCTCCACTATTGTAGTAGGTGTAGTTTTGTTTTTGTTTTGTTGTTATATGATTGTTGTTGTTGTTGTTGTTTTAGTTCTTGTAGTAACTTTTCTTCCTTTCTGAAAATAATAAAACAACCTGGCTTCGGCCAAAGCATATCATAAAAAAAAAGTATTGAGCCAAAGGACACCTATCCAGGATATAATTTTTAATGTAGTTTATTAATATGAATAAATGGGATAGTGCTGTCCCCTTTTCCTTTCTCCTACTCTGACTTTATTTCTGCCTTTATATTTCTTGTTTTAAAGTTTCGCATTGTATTGGATAAGTTTGCAAAGGCATGAGGTGGGGAGTTGAAGAAGGGATAAAATAGGTATTGATTGCTGTATTTATCTGAAATATTCACATCTGGTCTTTCCTTCCAGGTATGAAAGTTCAAAATTGAAGATATGTTGGAAATTAAAGCTTATTTTTTTAAAAAAAAATTAGGCCCATTTATTTTAAAATGCTGTTGTGTCCCACAGTTTATCACACGAACAAAAAGAAAGGAGGGAGGAAGAAAAAAAGGGAGAAGAAAAGAAAAAAGGGGGGGTAAGGGAAAAAAAGAAAACTCAACACAAAAAGCTGCTATGAATCCACAAGGGTTAAGCTGACACTACATATAATAAACATACAAAATTTATTAAGGTGTACACATTTTAAAAAGCTTAAAACTCATTTAAAATATTCACAATCAGACCTAAAAAACTTCTCAACATTCATACATAGATGGGTTAGTGCTGTGCAACTGAACCAAACGCGTTTCGGCCCCAAAGGGCCTTCTTCAGTGGTCACAATCCAAAATACAAAGTTGACATACAGTCCAAAAAATATTTACATAAGATGTTAAATATATATGCAGTATAAGGCCAGATGTTATGTCCTTATATATTTATATGTATATTGTTGTTCTATAGGATAGGCCTCAGGTATGGCCAATTAAAGTCCACTAATAATTCCAAATCTGGTAGCATAAACTTGCGTGAGTTGACTGTATGTCACTCCATCCTGTACTTTTCCAAGACTTTGAATCTAAAAGGAGAGTTTATAAAATAGGAAGGTTCATTCTTATGCAATTAGTCCTGGTCTAATTCTAATGTCATTAGAGTTACACCCTGTAAGTCCATTGGATTCAATGGGCTTACAAGGGTGTAACTCTGCTTAGGATTGCACTAATAAAATTTGTGACAGGGTATGAGCAGTGACTCATGAAAGTTCATACCCTGCAACAAATTTCATTAGTGTTTCAGGTGCTACTGGACTCTTGCTCTTTTCTGCTGCTACAGACAAACACAGCTACCCATCTTGATCTAGGACTGCACTGTTAGTTATATACTTGACCTAATGTTATAAACCTAAGTACCTTATTGTTCCAGGGAACTTTTGAGTGTATTGACAAGGACATTGGTTCCCTGACCACAGAATGTGCCAAAGACGTCATCCATGCAAAGAGTCCAAATCATGGCTCCTCCATAGCGCTCCTTTTTCAGGAAGTCTGCCTGTAAAGGAAATATGTATATATATGTGTGTGTGTGTATTATATAGTAACTAGGAGTAATGCCCGTTGCGGGAAGAAATACAACGAGATCTAGAAGGACGCTCCAGATGAGTGTCCCGACTGTGGCTGGTGGGGCGGCAGAGGGAAGCAGAAAATGGAGGAATGCAAGCCATGTTTCTTTCCTTCTGCTTAGCTATAAGGCAGGGCTGTCTCAAGTCATTTTGCTGCCCCAAGTGGGTAGAATGGGAGGACAGCCTCATGGTAACAGATATGGTTCTCTCCACCTCTGACTTATTTTTTGAGGGGGAGGGGGGTGTTATGCAGTGGCAGCTAAGGTAGAAAAGCACCTCCTCCTGTGCCATGTTTTCTGGGTTCCAAGGGTCTGGAAAGTAGTTCCATAGCTGATTACATGGTTGCCAACTCTGGGTTGGGAAATACCTGTAGATTTGAGGGGTAGAGCCTGGGGAGGGCAGGATTTGGGGTGGGGAGGGACCTCAGTAGGGTATAATGCCATAGAATCTACTGCCCAAAGCAGCCATTGTCTCCAAGAGAACTGATCTGGGTCATCTGGACATCACTGAAGCCCTGACTGCTATGTCACATTGGCTGTCATACAGGGGCCATCTCAGCAGGATATAAGGACACAGAGTCCACCATTTTCTCCAGGGGAACTGATCTCTGCCATCTGGAAAGCAGTTGTAATTCTGAGTGATCTTTAGCCCTCCCCTGGAGATTTGCAACCATGGTTTCCCCCAAGAGACACTAAGGGGAAATTTATTTTACCTCAGAACATCAACAGCAAACTGTTTAGAATGTTAGAGGGAAA